GGCTTTACCCCGATTTAATTTTTCAATATTTGCCGAATGGAATATTGCGATAAAACAGCATAAAAATAATACTAAAAAATGCCAAACAAAAAAATTAAAATGCCAAAAAATAATGCTAAATATAAATATGTGTTTAAACCCTGCAAAACATTGTGTTGTGGGTATTGTAAGCAAAGACCTAAAATGGTAAAGACTAGACAAAATGCATTCTGAGCAAATGGTTTGTGGCTATACTACCTTGAATAACAGCTCATGACAGAAGCATGTTAATATAAAACTACACAATTATAGGAAAGAATGACAAATAAAAGTTTGTATAATCCAAAAGATTGGTTTCAAAATTCTATTTCATATACCTTCCCAAATAATTGGATACTGCCTTAGCGGTTTAAGTTGCTTAACATTGGTAACTATGTTGTTACGATATCATAACAACAGAGGTATTTTTCACAGGGTTGCCATATTTTATTCTGTCTTGTCCTATCTTTACACTTCTATCAAAGACATAGAAGTGTAAAGATAGGACAAGACAGAATAAAATATGGCAACCCTGTGAAAAATACCTCTGTTGTTATGATATCGTAACAACATAGTTACCAATGTTAAGCAACTTAAACCGCTAAGGCAGTATCCAATTATTTGGGAAGGTATATGAAATAGAATTTTGAAACCAATCTTTTGGATTATACAAACTTTTATTTGTCATTCTTTCCTATAATTGTGTAGTTTTATATTAACATGCTTCTGTCATGAGCTGTTATTCAAGGTAGTATAGCCACAAACCATTTGCTCAGAATGCATTTTGTTTAGTCTTTACCATTTTAGGTCTTTGCTTCTATGTCTTTGTTGTAAGTTTGATTGGGCCAAAAATTATGTAGCACTTTGAAATTTTGACTTCCTACATAGAAAAGTATATATTGATATTACAATCTCGCTGGGGTGATCTAGCTATGTTAATTTGCAATCAGGCTTCAGGTCACAATTATAGACCAATCGACACGGAATTTAGCATGGGCTAGAGCTTAGGACTGGGCAAAAGCTCTCCAATTTGGATGGTCATCGGATAATATTGAGCGGGTGAAATAGACCATTAGTTTTGTTTAAAAAAAAAAACAATTTTCCCATTAAACCGCGAATATTCTTAATCCCAGTGAAATTACAAATAGACGAAAAAGCCAATTTTGACCGTTTCGTAGATGTCGATAGTGAAGATATCGGATATATATAGCGACATATATTCGCTAGAATGCTTACATCTCAAAAATAGCTGGACTGATTTTGACAATTCTTGTCAATTCAGAATTGACAGGAAAGAAAAAAATCTAGACAAACACACATGAAAAGATCCCAATAAAGATGAGAGTATTGATTTTGTGATATTTTCTTATATTTTTCCATTTTGTCACATGAGATATTTTCATTTTGACTTACAATATTGAATTTTACATTTTGTAATATTTTTACTCCTTACAACACTATATAGTTAGCATATTATATGCAGGGCACATTTATGGCCCGATCCTCACGAAATGTTGATTAGAGGTGTGGTTAGTGTCAGAATAGAAGCCTGATGTTCAAATAGACCAAAAACTGAATGTTTTCTGACACGTTATAATTTTAAGTGGGGGTTCGGTATCAGCCCTGCCGAGCATTTTGGATGGCCATCGAATAATAGTTAGCGGAAAAAATACCAAAATGTCTATTCCACCGTAATGCTGAAAGTGAATTCCAGGTGAATTAAGAAATACACGAATGGCGCACTTCTGATCTCTTTTACAACAATTCATGTAGACAAACCTTAATTTACAAACATTGTTCTGAATGTTCTGCCATTAGCATGACTCTCTTTCCTTAAACTTTAATATAGGGCAAATAAGAATATGCATTACCATGAATTTTTTAGAGATGACAGGTTTTAAAAAAAATAGGTTCCAGATCCATGAAGGTTATTCTTAAGGAAGATCAATAGAGTCCAACATCTGTTTTAAATTTAATGTGATTTTAATAAAATGTTTAAGTCTTGCTACTTGAAAATTAGAGACCGAATTATGATTAGAATGAGATCGTTTGTAATCTCAAAACTTTTGCAACCTTTATTTAACTTTTTCAATCCGCATCTAATGTAAAAAAGTGAATTCATAGTGTGTAGTATCATTCTATTTCTAATTTCTACTTTTATAAGGATCATTCTACTGAAAACTCTTTCAACTTCTGCGTTACTAAATGGTAAAACTAGATACTTCATAACAAAATAAGACAATTCCTTGAACGGGATTCCATTTAAAACATTTTTAAATTCTTATATACATATCCAAAAATAAATAAAATAAATGTTCATGTAATTTAAATTTTTTAGATTTAAGAAATTTTTGATTTATATGAAAGTACTAAAATATAAGAATATTTTTGGACAAAGAAAAATGCTAAAAAATGCTAAACTCATAATTTCAACAAGCTAAGAAAAATGCTAAATGAAAATTTTGCAGCTAAATACAAAAAATAAATGCTAAATTTAGCTGCAAAAATGCTAAAATGGCCACACTATTAGTGTTACTTATAACTTTAAACATTTTTGGGAGCTCCATAAAGTATGCTTTAATAATAGTAAAATATGAAAGTCACTCTACGTATTATAGTTGTGCTAATCTAGTTCGTCGATCGATAAAAAATAAGCAAAAAAAACTTGGTTTTTAAATGTTTTCAGCACTTTTAACCAATATGGTTCGACATTTTATTGTACCGACAGCTGTGTTACCTGAATTATTGCATCATGATGTGCACGAGTTGTAAAATGTTTTTTTTTTTTTTTGAGTAAGGTGCATCCATTATTTCAACTATCCAAACCAACGCTCACGCAATCTCTCAACATTTCCATAAATTGTCCTACATTCGACTTATTAAAATGTCCACACATTTAAATTTATTAGCAATTCACCTTAAGCGTCCTTCCCTAATTCCATTCAATGTAAGTGCCTAATTTATATCAATTGAATAATATGTTAGATGCTGCTGCAGGCTGGCTTAATAAAAATCTCTGAAATATAAACAAATCGCCAACAATAACACTCCTTAACTTATGTTTTGAGCATTTTTACGCCTCCACTTCCCTGGGGGAGTTATTGATTGTCATGGCTTAATAGTCCATCAACAGCAAATCAAAGCAACAAGTATAGTGTATGGAGTGGTTGGGAGGGGTCGGATGGAGAATGTAGGTGTGGATGGCAGGCAAGATTTATGGCAGGTCATCATTTAAATTTTCATTGGTGGTCTTGGAATTAAGCATAGCCCGAGGATTGCAAAGAATTTAAATATATGAACAAGAGGTTTTAATTTTGACATAAAACGTAAATGTTGTTGGTGCTATTTCTGTACCAGCGAAGAGATCAACACCTATTGTTGGTTGTCATTGGTATTTGAATAGACATACATTTTGTCCACAAATAACACAGAAATACCTAAAATTCGTACGACTTATAATGTTGCATGGTAAAATTAAAAAGGTAAAGTAATTTCAAATAAGCATTCCCATCTTTGCATTTTCTGTAATTTACCTTGTCAAATTTTACTGCATAGAAAGCAGGTTCCCATCTCCGATTTGTGTATGTACAATGGATTTACAAATAAACATTTTGACAAAGAGATGTTGCCAAATAATTAATTATAAAAAAATGATAAACATATGATTGCATGACTTTACCATTTTAATTCTACCATGTAATGTCATGTCATGAGTTCTTAAGAACTTAACATAAACTAATGGCGATACACTATCTCTTGGCAACAATGTAATTAAGAATTTCGAGACAATGCTTAATAGAAAAGTAAAAGCTGGTGTATCTTAAGCTTATAACACAATCAAAGTTTAAGCCGTCTTATATAGTTTTGCGTTGAAGCCGAAATTTCAAATGAATGCGTTTTGCTCAGCGCATAAAACAAAGCAAAAGATAAATGTATATTTGTTTTGGACATTATATCGCGTTTATATACAAATCTCTTGTGATTCGAAAAACAGATGCACTATGTCTGATGCAAAAATGTTTTAAGATTTCGGGAAAAAACATCACATATTTAAATTATTTTTTAGATTATAGGAATTTAATATTGTATTATACCATAAAATAATTTATGTTTTCACTACAATAATTGTAACTTGCATTCTATTTTCTCAACAAAATAAATATATAACGCGTTCATGTTCAAAAGAGCTGTTTTCTTAAAAGATTTTACGGTAACTTTTTGCAAAATTTGCATACGAGACAAAAACAACAATTTCTCAGAAAAGTCTACTATCTAATGTTTGTTTTCTACCATGGTAGAATTAAGTAGGTAATCTTGTGCTACCATATATGTTTACATTTTTTTCAAATTATTACCTTGACAAAATTTCATTGTTTATACACAACTCAGAAATGGAAAAATTTACAAAGTAATTTGTAGAAAAATTCAGAGCTGGATTTGCTAATTTGAGATGAGACTACCTTGAAATAATTGTTCTTGTGTTTTCTATCAATGCCCTTATAAGATCGGACAAGAAAACTGCTTTTGACAATAAACACAGTTGTTTTAACAGAATTGTGATTTGGTCATAATTATGAATTTTAACGACAAAATTAATAATAAGATGGTCTTACAGGGCCACCTTGTATAGGTCTGGGAGTAGATTCTTGTTCTATGATAATATTTCCTTTATAAAATTTTTCAATTGACATTTCTTTCCTTTGTAAAAGTTTTCATTTCACAGAACAAGAATTGAGGGCCTGGTCTTTTCTTGTCAAGTTTATTGTGATTGGTCAATTATCACTCTGAGTCTATTAAACATCTAAATCTTCAATTTTATAAATGCTCTATAAGAAGAGTCTATCACCTCATAGTACGTTTACAGTTTACCGGATTTAGACAACACATAAACGAAGTGTACCCAACTCTAATGTAAACATATTAATAACTGAGTAAATGAATAACGTAAGTAATTATGATTTTGGTTTTTTATCTTCCCCTAGAACTCGAACAAACCAAAAATCGACGAGCTGGTGGCACATCTGGCCTTTATGCCTTCCCTCGTGTGGGACGTAGTGATCCAAGTCTAACCATGGGCAATGTTCATAATTCGGAAGCAGAAAATGCTGCAGCGGCAGCATTTGATGCCCTATACGCGGGTTCTTTTGAAGAATACGAAGGTAAGTATTTTATGGAAATCGTTATTATTCAGGAAAAACATATTTTAACTGGTATCAATTATTCTATACCAGAACTGAAAGAATGTAAACGTTTTTACTACGATAACCGATTTATCTGTTATGTTATCGAAAAAATATAAAGGCTAAATCGGTTATTGTAGTAAAAATTTGTAAATTCTTGCAGTTCTAGAACAGACCAATTAAAGGTAAGATTTATGGTCTTGCACATCTGGCAAGAATTGCTCTGTTCCAGAACCTACAAGAATCTACCATTTTTCAAATTTTATTCGATAATATAAAGCAAAAATCCGTTATCGTAGTAAAAACTTTAACATCCTTGCAGTTCTGGAACAGACCAAATATAAACGTTTTTACTACGATAACCGATTTATCTTTTATGTTTATGAAAAAAATAAAACTCGTAGATTCTAGCAAAATCTCATTGTCAAAATTTGTATTTATAAATCCATTGTTTACACAGAAATCAGAGATGGGAACCTGATTTTTTATTCAGTGAAATTTGACAAGGAAAATTACAAAAAATGCAGAGATGGATAGTCTTATTTGAAATGAATTTACCTCTTTAATTTTACCATGGTTTTTACATAAAAATTCATAATCATCTTTACTTTCCAGAATATCCCAAATCCGATTTGAAACGTGCCAGCCTCTTCAATGCTCCTCGCGTAGGCCGCATGGATCCTGAAGTGCGTAAATGGGCACGATTTTTGGCGATGCAACAATCTCTGGACAAGCGAGCTGGTCCCAGTGCCACAACTGGTGTTTGGTTTGGACCCCGTTTGGGTAAACGCAGTGTAGATAGCCAAAGCGTTGATACCACAAAGGGCCAAAAGGAAGAATATTAAATATAAACAACAAATTATGTTTTAAAACACAAAGAGAAGAAAATCTAATGACGATGACGACCCCTGGCAAAATTCATCAATGGCTTTGAGCGAAATGGCAACACACATACTTACACTTATATAAATACATATATACACACAAAACACGAAACTAAAATATATAAATGCTACTTAAAAAAAAAAAAAAAAAAAAAAAAAAAAAAAAAAAAATACAGTCAAAGCAAGAAGAAAAAGAAAACTGAAGAGGTGCATTCGTAATTTGCAAAGAGATCAATTTTTGAATTTTATTATTATTTTGAAATTAACACATTATTATTAGCCTTATTATGGACCCCCATATTATTATATATTCAAACAAAAGTCGTAATTATCTGCGTATGTATAACGGCAAACGATTATTAAGGGTTTAGTCTTTAAAAAACTCTAGCTTTAGTCTTAGGGTTGATGTTTTCTTCTCAAAAAAAAAAACAAAAACTCACATGGGCTGGTGTGGGCTCTCATTTGATATCACATGGGTGGCCTTAAGTCAACCAAAAGTCTGGTATCTAATGAAAGTCCTAACATTTCTTTATTTATATTCTATCTCTCTAAACATCAACTTAACTCTAAAAGAAATATGAAATATTTTATTGTAAATAATATTTATAATGGATAAATTTGATATAGGTGTATTCGGACAATTATACTAAGTTATATTGTTACAAATCTTATACGGATATATGTATATTTAACTATACTAAAAAATGCCACACATTAGTAGAAAAAAAGAAATAACAATAAACAATTAATAACAAAGCGCAAACTGAACAAACAACAAAATATTTGGTTTTATTAGAAACAGTTTTAGTTTTCAGTTGAGCCCAATAATGATTGAATGTACGTTTATAATTAAGGAACATTTGGAAGAAAATAAATTATTTTTATTTATATTTATTCATGCTACATGTCCGTCGGTTCAAATTTCCATAAAACCAAGGAAACAACAAACAAAGCCAATGCGAACATGCTATTAATGCTGGCTTTCCGTCCGATTTTATCGATAGAAAGAGCTATCAATCGATAGTTTCATCGAAAAAAAACTATCGGTATTGTAATTGGTTATTTGTCAGCTCTAAATTGGCGTCCTTTTTAATACAATTTGAATTGTTTTCCTTAATTGTTTTTAATTTAATTATTGAAATTATTATGAGTAAATACGAATATGCTAAACGTTTGAAACGTATGCTTAATAATGAGTGTGAAATTACCGAAATGGAAACAAACATCGCGCGCAAATGTGGCAAGCATTACGAACAGATGAGTGAGTGGCAAATCTAGATTTGAATTTCAAGTTCCAAATAAGAACAATTTTTATCTTATATTAATCACTCCTATTTATAGCCAAATTAAAGACCATGTTAAACAAACAGGAACATGAACTTAGTCGATACCGAGATCAATTGGAAAAACTGAGGATACAAACAGAAAAATTTGAAGATTTTGTGCTGGCCGAAGAGGAACGCTTGAAAGGTATTCATCAAAATATTGAAAGATTACGTAAAGAATGTGATGAGACGGAACAACAACGTCTGGCACAAAGAAAACAGGAATTGACCAGAAGGAGATTGTAAGTGCAAATTTGAAAAAATGTTTTTCTCAATTTAAACCTTACATTTTCAGTATTCATGAAATAAAGGAGACCACACAAATGTACTTTAACGAGGATGCCCTGCCGCACAGGTTTCAAGGTGTTTGCATCGAACGTACAGAGACATCCTGCGAATGGAAACCGTTTTGTGTTGATGCCAAACAATGGCTAGAGTTTCTAGAAGAACAATGGAAACAGCAACAACACGAAAATAAAGAAAACAATGCCCCCAATCCAATGGAATGTGATGAAAGTGCACAAAAAGGGAAATAGTTATAGATTTTAATATAAGATTTGTTTTTTTAGATTATGTTAAGGGCAGAGGTGCACCCCTGTCCATTGTGTAGTTAAATTAGTTAGCGTCTTTATTGTGTGTCTATTCTATGTTCTAATCTATTATTTATTTTCTATAAGAAAATCCGTATTGCAATATCTTCGCATGTATTTCCAGTAAACTGTTTAGTCTGTCTCTCAAATATTTGCAGAACATAGCATAATTAAACATAAGACACTTGTTAGATATTTATATTTTTTTCTGTAAAAACGCCAAAAATATTGTAAATAAGTAATACCTTCCCAGTTTGTAAGAACTGATTGCATAGTAATTAAATCAATTTTATGATAAACTATAGAAATTTGAGTTTATATGCGAAGAACAACTTGTAATGACCAATGCGTTGTGAAACCGGTCGCGATCCAATGCTCTTCTTCAAATGCATTCTCGTCGTTTCCGTAGTAGTCAGGTTTTTTTTTTTGCTTTTCTTCTACGGACATCTGAACTGCCCCTTAGCTTTTAAAGTACGGTCAAGATGCATGACATGCATTTTGTGGTGTTGCATTAAGCAATATCAAATTTTTTTAATTTTTCTCGAGCATGATATTCTCATGCGGTTGATATTCTCATTTGTGACTTTTTTCAGAGCGAAAGGGTGTATAGAGATCTTGGATACTGAAAAAAAATGTTATTGAGTTGTTAGAAGTGTCTTTCTTTTTAAGCACACGCCAAAACTGTGTCGTCCGTTATCGACATTATCTGTGCAGCACGAAATAAAAAGCATAATGAATGCATGAACCATGTGCGTTGAAAGCTTCATGCACACGTACACGATTTTGATGTCATGCGTTTTGACTGTGTACGGGCCACTTAAGATTCTCCTTAAAATGTTACGATCCTATTTCTTGCCTTTTTATAGACTAAAATCGTAGCTAAGCATAAGCTTTTCAATTTTACAAAAATACAAAACATGTATAAAGTGAGCGACGGGCTAAGTCTTCTCTTCCAACGCATATTGTCTCAAGAGACCTATATCGACTAATTTCATCTGGGACTTGCACATTTAATAAATTCAATTTTAAATAACACGGGCCGACTTCACGATAACCTACACAAGTATTAGTAACATATAAACGTTTATAATAGTTATTTATTGCTTGTTATGTCTTTTGAGCGGTTAAATCTTGACGTCGTATAGAGCCACTATAAAAGCTATTTCTTAATCGATTTTCACTAAATTTGAAGCATTTATTTTTCCACATGAGGACTGACATTAACCAAAATCGACATATTTGTTTCTACGATAAACTCGGTAGTGTACCACAATCCATCCGATGCGGGCAGATATTACACTTTTGATGCATATCAAATGATATAAAATGTATGGGAGTCTAGTCATATCTGAGTCGATTTTCAACAATTTCATAAAGTTAATTCTAGTTTTTATTCGGTCGAACATATAAGGGTGCAATACCTAAATTTAGACGGACTATCACCATTTCATTAGAATTCGCCCTGGGGCAAACAAATGATTTGCTTACAAAAATGTATGACGGACATACAAATATAGATTCAGAATGTGATTCTATGGAGATCCCCAAAAGCAACTAGTTCCTTCTGGATGTAACAAACAAATGCAGAAATGCATAATTCCCTGCATCTCTGGGTTGTGTATATTATAAAAATGATTTTTTTAAAAAATATTTATTCAATTGAAATTGAAAAATGATTAAACTTAATAAAAACAAAACATTACTTTCATAAATATATAAGGTTCATTAACTTCATAATATTTACTCGAATAAATACCCCTAAAACTTAGAACTGCTTTGCTCATATTTTACATCCTATCTTCCAATTGAACCCAAAAATCTCTGGGCGAGGTCGACAAACCACTAAGATTTGTTCGCAAATCGGGTAGTTTATCATTTGGACCCAATACAAAGCTGAAATTTTGTAATATTGTTGCGGTCATCAAGAATAGCATGTTACGGGCAAATGTTTCACCAGCACATAAACGTTTGCCTACAAGAAGACGTAGCCGTTGATTATAGGCTCAGTGTAAATAACTGATCATGATTTGCACTTACCTGCTCCAAATGGCAACGAGGCATCTTTCTTAAGGCACAATTTTCCACTGTCGTCTAAAAATCTTTCGGGACGAAAATTTTCCGGGTCGCCCCATACACGTTCATCTTTATGTAAGGCATACAAACTTGTCATGACGAAAGTATCCTGTAAAATAAATTAAGGGAGGTCTGAAAAGGGTAGAACTGATTTAGGAAGAGAGAAAATCGTATATGAAATACTGGAGCAAATTAATCTCCTTTACTATAATAGTATTCAATATCAATCAATATTTACAGAAAATTGCAATATTACCGCAATCAATTGTTATTTTCAATCATCCATGAAGCTATAACCGGGTCATTAGTCATGCATCAGGGACTTTTCTTTAAAAATGATAATACGAAATTAAAACAGTGGTTTCTTTTAAACAATGTGTATATTTTAAAACGATGAAATATTTGATTTAAAAACTAGACTATACCTTACACATCAATTGACAAGAAGAGAGCTAATGCAGTAAACTGTCATTTAGCCCAGCATTAAAGCCATCTTGGAGAAATTTACTTTGGCATAGACAAATGAAAATATAGACAACGAAATGCTCTCACCGTTTATCTTCGAAAAAAATCGGCTCAGCAGATGTCGTCTATATCGTCCCAGGGGTTTGAGTGAGAATATTGATGTCACCCAATTCTTAAACGTTAAAAATAACAAACACTTTAGGATATTTGTCAGTTAAAAATTGTTCCATAATAAAAGAAAAGTGTTTTCGAAGTCGAGTGGGTTGAACTCGTAAATCAGCATGTTGACTATGCAAAACATGATGAGAGCCACTTCTCTCTCCTAGAGAAGTGAGGACAATTAAAACACCTCACTTCTGAATAACTTGTCGCACTAAAAACGGGAAATAAGAACCTAATGCTACATTAACTTGTTTGCAAATGGCCAATGAAATTATTATATACGCAAACAATGTGAAGGTTCATATTATCGAATTTGGTTTCATGCGCGTTGTTTCTTATTATCCCAAAAATAATTAGCAAACAATTTATTCCAAGTAGTGGCTTAGAAATCGTATTATACACTACCAAAACCAAACATTTGAGTTTAATTATCCATGGGTATGAGTTTCCGCCAAGTGACATGAAATACGGAGCTTATCAAGTACTACAAATGGACCGATATGGTGTTGTTACAAATTGACCTTGGGTAAAAGTGCAGAATTTTTATGCACTTCATCATGAAGGTATAAAAATTGGTCTTTCAGATAAAAAACCCAAAAGTATGGAAAGATATCTCGAAATTTAAATTTTTAAATTCGTTTGGAGCACCATGGAGATATGTTGTTATATAATAAAACAATTACACGGAATATATGTACTGAATTTTTGTTTATCAATACGTAAGTACGATATTACTTACCTTTGGCACAATGTATCCCATTAGTTCCGTATCGACTTTAGCCCGGTGTGGAACATTCGATGGTACGAGCGTTTCAATTCTCATAATTTCTCGAATAGATGCTTCGGTATAAGATAAATCTTTACGATCATCTAAAGTCGGCAATCGTCCAGAGCCAACGACATTATCAATTTCTTTTTGGATTTTCTTCTGCACTTCTGGATAGAGCAACATATATTGCACAAAAAATCCCATTGTCATACCGATTGCGGTAAATGCAGGAAATGTAAAATCCACTAGACCCAATATAAATTGATTATGTTCAAATGATGTAGTATCAGTTCTACCCTCCTCTTCGGCCCGTTTCATTTCCTTGATATATAAATCGACAAAATTCCTTTCCGCCGATTCATCATACGTCTCAATATAATGATCAACTAATTTTTCATAGAAACCATACATATAACGATTCGATTCCATTAGTTTGTTATATGAACTCCAATTGGGAAATATGTGACGGACCCATGACATTATACTCAACATTTTTCCATAATCATCACTTTTCCGTTGAAATTGTACACCCAAACGAATTAATTTCCAAAGATCGGCCTGTTCAACCCGTGGATATCTTTCGTTGAAAATTATATGATAAACGCTATTGGCCGAGAAGGGATTAAACAAATACGGCATTAGGATACGATAGCCACCTTCTTTAACGAATTCTCTTTCATGATCAAATTTTGGTCCGTTGCGTATTAAGTCAAGCATATCTGTTAATTCTTCGTGTATAACTGCCTCCAACTGTTGGAAGCGACGGCCAAATCCAAAATCTCTTAAATAACGTAAAATGAAACGCCGTTGCTCTTCCCATGCTGGACCATCTTTAAAGAAAATTCCTGTAAAAGAACAAGAGAGACTTTTTTACACAATGAGCTCTAGGCTGCATAGCTTAGTCCTTAAAACATATGTAGCACTTATTGTTTCTGATCAATGAAGAATTTTATAACTTCAACCTAAAATAATGATAAAAACCATACAGTTTTTAATTTAGCTTTTAAGCTTTTAGTTTTTAAACGTTTGAATTCCTCAAAACGTAAGCCAAAACTTGTAAAACCAAATTCTTCTAGGTTTAAGAAATAGAGCTAATTGCAAAGGTTTGGATTCATACATATAAGAAGACTTTATTGGCAATTTGATTTAGACCTGCATGTGGCATTGCTGAATTCTTCATATAAATCAAGCTTAACGAACATGACAGTATATCAATGTTCAATAGAATAAGATCATCAACGTTGGACCGTGTCTAACTTCCGAACGAAATGAAGTAGATTAATTTTACTCAAATGTATATTATGTCTGCAGGACTTTTGGTATTGAAAATGTGCCATGTAGGTCCACGTTTTGATATAGCACCCATGTAGCGGTACCTCCCGATATTCGGTAATTTTATGATTTCAGCGACATTATTCAACGGAATTGTTTTAAATTTGGCATTTGATGTTCGTATGACAGGAGATTGTCTGTGAAAGATCCACGTCTTCGTATAGCCCCCATATAACAGTACCTCCCGATATTTTGATGATTTTAGCTACATTAGTCACCGATTTTTTAAGTTTCGCGTTTGAATATTTAATGGTTTTTGACAGAAGTTACCTATGTCGTATATACCTTGTCTAATATAACAGCTAAATTCGGTATTTTTAAGATTTTAACAGAATTTTGAACGGATTTTATTGTTTTTGAGAATTGCCAAATTCGTTCCAAGTGTTGGAGGGTATTCAAAGTCTTTTACTTGTTTTTTTTTTTTTAATTGCCAATTGAGCGAGTTACGAAGTTACTGAAATACTTTCCATCATAAATGTAAATCTTTTAATTCGTTTTTGCTAAAATAAACAACATACATACCTGCAATATTTTCATTGGGCTCACGCATTTTTGCCACATATAATGCAGGCCGACCATCGAATTCAGGACGATTTAATACTTCACGTATGGTTGTGGGATTGTGTACCACTACCATGGGATATATACCCATGTGTAAACCAATTATTTCTGATTTAATCCACTTAGAAAATTTGAAAACGGCTTTGTGCAAATAACGAAAATTTACCATCATCATAAACAAATAACTGCCAAAGAAAGGTATTCGGGGAATCGCTGGAAATAATAACAAATTATTAAAAATTGTTGATATTATTTGGTAATATTGTAAATATGAACGCAAAGAAATCTATATATTAATATAAAACAAGTTTAATATAAACAAGTAAGCAAAGGCTATAGACGTGCGGGGCCGACCACTACAATATCTTAGAAGCCCCCTTATGTCCAAATCTATTTCGGAAGATTTCGCTTTTGGATTATATCGCTTTTGAAATAACCAGGGCCATTTGCCCAATGTTAGTCATCTTAAATGCAATGGTCATTCAAAATGCTAGAATTTTTCCTTGTCCTTAACTCTCTTCTCAGGCGTGTCGATTTGCATCAATTCTGTGATCAGGATTTTTTTCTTTTTTTGGTTCGATTGAACCCCTAAATATTTTGCGATTATCTCCAAAAGTAAGAGGGCCTTCATAAATCCAAATTTAGACTCAACTATACGATTTGCTTGTCTACGATATTTGGCTATTATCGTCAACGAAATCAGCATAAAATAGACAAAATTTCGCCTTTTGTGTATTTCGGATTCGGATAAATATATTGCGGACATCTTTAAAAACAATAGGCTCAGCCCTTCTCAGCCTAACCCTACCCTTGTGAAAATTTTCGTGGGGATCGGATGATAATTGCAATCTGTATATAACAACCCCAACCTGCGTTGTAAGGTGAAAAAGTATTACAAAATATACACTTCAATATTTTAAGTCAAATTGAATGCGATAAAAAATATGAAAAAAATGTCACAAAATACTACAAAATCTATATTAACATCATTACTGGCATATTTTTATGCGATTTTTTTAGATTTTATTTTCTTATGCCAACAGCGCATTCTGAATTGACAAAATTTGTCAAAATCGGTGCAGCCATTCTTGAGATATAAGCATTCTAGCTTACATCCCATTCCTTTGAATATATACATTCGCTATATATATCCGATATATTTACTATCGGCATCTACGTAACGATCAGATTTGGACTTTTATCTATCCCAAATGTTATGGTCTATTTCACCCACTAAATATTACCCGATGACCACCAAAATCGGAAGGCTCTAGACCCATGCTTACTTCCGCTTCGATTGGTCTACAATTGCGACCAGTAGAGCAACTACAAAATCAGGAAATTTTTCAGTTTTTAGTCCATTTCAACCCCTAAATATTGTACGATCATCTCCAAAAACAATAGCGTTCTATTCTGATCATAACCCCACCTCCATTTTTTATTTCGTGAGGATCGGGCCATGATTGCGACCTGTAGCGGGATTACAAATTAACATGGACAGACGGACATACATAAATCGACTCAACTCGGCGAGATAGGAAGATCCATATATACTTTCCTATGTGGGAAACCAATATTTCGAGGGGTTACATAATTTTTGGCGCAATCAAACTTATAATACCCCCAACACATAGTGTTGTAAGGTATAAAAATCTTCATTTACGGCATGATTTTGTAAAAAATTGTTTTCTTTTAAATCGTTTGTATTCAAACTTTTTCGTTTTAATTTGGGTTTTTATGTACATTTTGAAAGCTCACGCTCATTGCCGAAAAGCTTCGATATGTCAGTGTTTTCGTTGTTAAGTTTTTGAAATGATTTCATTATGAGTTGCGCTGCTTGTCGCAACCCCGATAGATTCAAAATGTATTAAAACATTTTAAAATAATATTGAAAAACGTGGAGAAAGCATTTGAAGAATATGGACCTGCAAGATGCGCCAGTAAAATGTTGATGTATTTAAACAGTTCATATGTAAATTCCCCAACATACGCATACAATTTTGGTGTAATTCTCTATCAAATGGCCAATTTCAATTCTGTTATTTTCCTATCGTTTTTATACCCTCCACCTTGGAAAGGAGGGTATATTAACTTTGTCATTCCGTTTTTAACATCCTTAAACATTCGTCGTAGACCCCATAAAGTATATATATTCATAATCAGCATAAAATTCTAAGTCGATTTAATGATGTCCGTCTGTCTGTTGAAATCACGATACAGACCACATTATTTGACGTAGCAGAGCAATTTGTATTGTGTCTAGGATGGTTCGTATTGAAAATGAGATATATCGGTCCACGTTTTATAGTCCCCATATAACGGTACCTCCCGATATTCGGTATTCTTATTATTTTTGCCACATTTTTTCACGGATTTGTCTGAAAATTGGTATTTGTAGGTCGTGTGGCAAAATATTGCATGTATAGGTCCACGCCTTGGTATAGCCTCCATATAAAGGTACCTCCCGATATTCGGCATTTTAATTATTTTTGCAACATTTTTTTTCACGAATTTCTCTACAAATTGGTATTTATAGGTCATAATGGGTCCTAGTTCGTGTGGCGAAACATTGCATGCATGTGTCCACGTTTTGGTATAGCCCCCATATAACGGTACCTCCCGATATTCGGTATTTTGATGATTTTTGACACATTTTTTACGATTTTTTTTTTTGAAAATTGGTAGTTGTAGGTCATAATGGGTTCCAGTTCGTGTGGCGAATCATTGTAATTATAGGTCCACGTTTTGGTATAGTCCCCATATAATGGTACCTCCCGATATTCGGTATTTTGATGATTTTTGACACATTTTTTCATGGATTTTTCTGAAAATTGGTATTTGTAGGTCATAATGGGTTCTAGCTCCTTTGGCGTAAAATTGCATGTATAAGTCCACGATTTGGTATAGCCCCCATATAACGGTACCTCCCGATATTCGGCATTTTAATGGTTTTTCCCATATTTCTTCGCGGTATTTGTTGGTAATAATGGGTTCTAGCTCTTTTGGCGAAACACTGTATGTATAGGTCCACGTTTTTGTATAGCCCCATATAGCAGTATTTCCCGATATTCGGTATTTTGATGATTTTTGGCACATTTTCCCATGAATATGTCTAAAAATTGGTATATGTGGCTTTCCTTTATCCTAAGGTGGAGGGTATTAAAAGTTTGGACCGGCCGAACTTAATGTTTTTTTACTTGTTTTTTCTTACGTTCTCTCTCTCGTATTTGTTACAAAAAACCCAAAAATACAATGGGAAGTAAAAGCTTTGGTGTGTATGCCACTGACATAAAAAGCATTTGCTTAAAAGAGTCAAATATTATTTTCCGTCGACAAATTTGCGAACGATTGGCAAAAATATATGGCATGTTCCAAAACTGTAAGAGTGTTAAAAGTTTTTACTATGATAACCAATTTTCCCTTTATGATATCAAAAAAATTGCAAAACTAGGAGATTCTTGCAGGTTCTGGAACAGAACTATAGTTACACATACAGGCTGTTAAATTGACACTTCTTTTGATTTTTGCTCTATTCCAGAACTGCAAGAACGTAAAACATTTTACTACCATAACCGATTTTCCCTTTATGATGTCAAAGAAAATAGCAAAATAGCAGATTCTTGCAGGTTTTGGAACATGTCATTCAATTCAAATAAAACAAGTTCGGTTTAAATGAATCTTTAAATCAAAAATTATTGCTCTATCCCAAAACCGAAGAGTTTTGCATTTCTTCGATATATAATGGAACAATCAGTTATCGTAGTAAAAGGTTTTACATACTTGCAGTTCTGGAACAGAGGAAGTACTATTGGCAAGTTTCAAAAAATATTTCTTTGATAAATGGTCTGTTCCAGAACTGAAAGAATGTACAAGTTTTAACTACGATAACAGATTTTCACTTTATAATGTTGAAAAAAATTGCAAAACTAGTATATTCCTGCAGGTTCTGGAATAGAGCAAAAATTTATTGGAAGCAATAGCTCTGTTCCAAAAATGTAAAACTTTTTACTACGATAACCAATTTTTCCGTTATGATATCGAAAATAATTTCAATCTTGTTTTACAATTTTTTTTTCGATATCATAAAGGGAAATTCGTTTATCGAAGTAAAAAGTTGTACATTCTTGTAGAACACAAATGTTTCCTTAATAATATTTTTTTATTTGACATTTCTTTCCTTTATAAAAGAATGTCACTACATACACGATAACCATTTTTCGCATTACTGGTCACTCATGGTTTGTTCCAGAACCTGCAAGAATCTACTATTTTGCATTTTTTTTTCGATGAAGCGAAATTCGGTTATCGTAGTAAAAACTTTTACTTTCTTGCAGTTCTGGAACATACCATTGTATTGTTCTTCACATTATCACAATAAACTGAAATTTTTATAATCGCACATAATTGAATGCCTCAACAAACAATATATTGAATTTAATCTTTTAATCAGTACACAATATACCAGCACAACTGAAAGGATAGCCGTTACTTGTTTTGCTACTTTTACCACTTTGAAAAGTATAGTATCGTTCGATTACCTGGAGGAAATCCTTCTGGTTTCGAAACAACATATTTGTATGAAGCGTATATGTACAGAGATATGCAAGCAAATAACAGCAAATATGTCAACATTTTTAATCCGCTAGGATTCAAAATTTATTTATATATTTATTTCTTTTTAAATAAAAACAATTATAACAGGAATTAAGGCGCCTTCACCGGATTAACTGTTAATGTGCAACGACTTTTGGTACTCAACTGAAATCGCATTGCATTGTTCCTTATATGTGCATTTTTATTACAGAATACGATTAAGATAGACAGAGAGGTTGATAACACATTAACTGAGCAATTTTAGCCGAAGAGATTGTGTATGCCATTTCCGATTGTTTGCGTGTAATAGATGAAGTAAAAATAGGCACGAAAACAATTAAATGTGACGATAAGTATGGCCGACAAGGCCTAGTATATATTTCCCCCTAGATTATTAGTAATATTAAACTCTAAAACTAAATGAAAACCAAAGTATTAAATTATAAATTACAACAAATTCTGTAGAAAATGTGATTTTTACGCAAGGACATAGTAGATTGATAAGACAGTCGTACCAAAGCAGCTTGTAAAGTTTGTTTTTGCCTTAGCTAATACGGAAACTTAAAGGCTCAAAACACATATTATAAACCCATGGAATTCAATTGTCATTACACAAAGAGCAAGTAAGACCGATAAATACATTTGGTCTGTTGTTGGCATAAAAAGTGTTTATTAAAGGCATTATTATAATTAAGAAGATAAAGTAATTCCAAATAAGCATACCCATTTCTGCATTTTCTTTAACTTACCTTGTCAAATTTCACTGCAAAAAAAAATAGGTTCCCATCTCTGATTTATTTATGTACACTACATCCTGATAATTAGGCTTGATATTGATATAGATCTGTTGTAAAAAATTGGATTGTATAGATCCTAATAGTTTAGATGATATGAATGTCACATGTTTTTACAAGACCGAAAATGCTAGATTTGCATCAACTTGAACGACTAAGCACTAATGTAATTAACTTTCGAATAATATGGAAACATCTGGTTGATAAAACAATTATTATTTATATATGTGCGCTTTACTTGTCCGATAAGGCAATAAAAACAATAAGCTGTCTTTAAACATAGTAAACACATAAAGATATGCATAAAAATAAATTTAATCAGATTTCAAAAAAAGAAAAGAAAAAAACAAAAAAAAAAGAAAGTCCTAAAGTCAGGCCGGGCTGATTTTATGATACCCTACACCACTTTTCTAATTAGTTTAGCTCCACATAACAATTAAAAGTTTTTATGGGAGAATTCAATCATACACCCTATGATTATAATTACAGGGTTGCCCATATTCGACGGACCCATCTGGCAACGCCATAACTTTTGACAGAGATGTCACATCGCTTAATGACATACCGCGTTTAAAGCGTCAGTCCAAGCAGATTTTTACCATGAACCAATACACGCCACGCGTGTGAGAAGTGCGCCTTCTAAGAACACCATTAAGCGTTTATACGAAAAATTTTCGACTGGTAAGGCTCTTTCTAATCCGAAGAGGCCATATAAAAGTCGACCAAGGCGATCGGCCGAGAATATCGCTGCCGTACGAGCCAGTGTTGAGAGGTCCCCAAGAACATCCCAAAAACGCCGTTCTCAGCAGTTGGGCATGGCTCGGTCCACTTTTCAACGGATTATTCGCATTGATTTGCATTTGTTCCCGTACAAAATTCAATTGACTCAAAGAATGTTGCCTGCGGACAAGCCTCGTCGGTTGGAATGGGCCCAAAGGTCCGTCGAATATGGGCAACCCTGTATAATTAAAAATTCATAGGACTAAATATGCCGAAGCATTTGTATCTTTTAAATTCGGACTTGTATTGCCCATTTGGTGCAAAATTAATTTGAAATCAGATAAAGATATATATGGGAGCTATGGGATAAAATTTGGCAAAGATATTTCTAAGCAGTATTTGATATATTTCCCCGAATATCATTGTTACGAAGTGCATATTACGGCTGTGTGTAACAAATACAACAAATCGGATGAACAATATATATGGGAGCTATATGGGAGCTTTATCTGAACCGATCTTCACCAAATTTGGCATGCTACCTTCTAGACTCAATTCGGTCGTATGTTCCAAATTCCATCCTATTTGGGCAAATATTAGACGTTTGGTGCACAATAAAAGGTAAATCGGACGAAGTTATATATGGGAGCTATATCCAAATCTGAACTGATCTCGATAAAATTTAGCAAAGGTATTTCTGAGCTGTATTTGATATAATTCCCTGAATATCGCTGTTACGGAGTGCAAATTACGGCTGTGGGTAACAAATACACCAAATCGGATGAACAATATATATGGGAGCTATAGCTATATCTGAACCGATCTTCACAAAATTTGGTCAGTTCAATTAATTCGGTCGAATGTACCAAATTTCATCGCATTTGGGCAAATATTAGACGTTTAATGCACAATAAAAAGTAAATCGGACGAAGTTATATATGGGAGCTATATCCAAATCTGAACCGATCTCGATAAAATTTAGCAAAGATATTTCTGAGCTGCATTTGATATATTTCCCAAATATTGTTGTTACAGAGTGCATATTACGGCTGCGGAGGACAAAAATATCAAATCGGATGAACAATATATATGAGAGCTATAGCTATATCTGACCGATTTCGATAAAATTTGGCATACTTATTTTCAGGCCTAATTTGGCAGTATGTGCAAAATCCCTTACTATTCGGGCTGATATCACGTTTGGTGCACAATAAAAGGCAAATCGGACGAAGATATATATGGGAGCTATATCTAAATTTTTACCGATTATCTTCAATTTCAATAGGGTTCGTCCTTGGGCCAAACAAATGTTGTTTGGAAAATTTCATCTCAATCGGATAATAAATGCGACCTGCATTTTGTTCACAAGAATACATGGACAGACGGACGGACTGACTTGCATAAATCAACTCAGAAAGTGATTCTATGCAGATCATCAAAAGGAACTATGGGTCTATCTCCTTTCCTTTTGCCTGTTACAAACAAATGTACAAAGACATAATACCCTGACCACCTTGTGGCGTAGGGTATAAAAAATACAAACGTCTCAAAAACAATCACCTTTTATTATCGAAATATAATGATAATAATTGATGTCTTAATTTAACTAGAGTGTTCTTTACCACTGTAATTTACCATTTGCAATACTTGAAATGAAAATAAGTTTCTTGAGTGCGTTAGACAAAATACTTCTCGTTTAAAAGTCTGATATAAACAACGACATACTAGCCTACATAAGAACAAGTAAAAAAACATTAAGTTCGGCCGGGCCAAACTTTTAATACCCTCCACCTTAGGGTAAAAGAAACATTAGAAGAAATGTGGCAAAAACCATTAAAATGCCGATTATGGGGAGGTACCGTTATATGGGGGCTATACCAAAACGTGGACCTATAATTACAATGTTTCGCCACCGGAGCTGGAACCCATTATGACCCACAAATACCAATTTTTAGACAAATCAGTGAAAAAATGTGGCAAAAACCATCAAAATACCGAATATCGGGAGGTACCGTTATATGGGGGCTATATCAAATCATGGACCCATGCATGCAATGTTTTGCCACCGAAGCTGGAACCAATTATGACCAACAAATACCAATTTTCGAACAAATCCCTGAAAAAATGTGGCAAAAATCATCAAATTACCGAATATCGGGAGGTACCGTTATATGGGGGCTATACCAAAACGTGGACCTATAATTACAATGTTTCGCCACCGGAGCTGGAACCCATTATGACCAACAAATACCGATTTTCAGACAAATCCGTGAAAAAATGTGGTAAAAAAAATTAAAATACTAAATATCGGGAGGTACCTTTATATGGGGGCTATACCACAACGTGGACCTATACATGCAATGTTTTGCCACACGCTCAGAGACCCGCTATGACCTACAAATACCAATTTTAAGACAAATCCGTGAAAAAATGTGGCATAAATCATCAAAATACCGAATATCGGGAGGTACCGTTATATGGGGACTATACCAAATTATGGACCCATACATTCAATGTTCCGCCACCGGAGCTGGAAACCATTATGACCCACAAATACCAATTTTTAGACAAATCGTTGAAAAAATGTGGTAAAAAAAAACTAAAATACTAAATATCGGGAGGTACCTTTATATGGGGGCTATACCACAACGTGGACCTATACATTCAATGTTTTGCCACACGCTCAGGGACCCGCTATGACCTACAATAACCAATTTTAAGACAAATCCGTGAAAAAATGTGGCATAAATCATCAAAATACCGAATATCGGGAGGTACCGTTATATGGGGACTATACCAGAACGTGGACCGATATATCTCATTTTCAATACCAACCATCGTAGACACAATGCAAATAGCTCTGCTAAATTTTGGAGCTCTACGTCAAATAATGTGGGCTGTATCGTGATTTCAACAGACAGACAGACAGACGGACAGACAGACAGACAGACGGACAGACAGACAGACGGACATCGTTAAATCGACTTAGAATTTTATGCTGATTATGAATATATATACTTTATGGGGTCTAAAACGAATATTTAGGGATGTTACAAACGGAATGACAAAGTTAATATACCCTCCTTTCCAAGGTGGAGGGTATAAAAATACACATGTAATGGAATTCTGTAAATGGTTATCTACTGAATTAGTAACAATATTGAAAACTGTAATTTTTATACCCTCCACCATACTACGGAGGGTATATTAATTTTGTCATTCCGTTTGTAACTCCTCGAAATACTCATGTCAGGCCCAACAAAGTATATACATTCTTGATCAGCGTAAAATTCTAAGACGATTTAGCCATGTCCGTCTGTCTGTCTGTCTGTCTGTTGTAATCACGCTATCTTTCGAACAAATTGAGATAGAAGGCTAAAATTTTGCACACATGTATATTTTGCCAGTAGGCAGGTTAAGTTTGTAAATGGGTCATGTAGGTCCACGTCTTCATATAGCCCCCATATACCGTCCCCCCCAATATTCGGCATTTTGATGATTTTAGCGACACTATTTACCGGGATTGTTTCAAATTTCGCATGTGAAGTTCGTCATGGATATTTCAGCCCATGCTAGAAAATTGTCTGTGCAGGTCCACGTCTAGGTATAGCCCCCATATAACG